ATAGAGAGAATCTTTCTGGGAGTATACGATGAAGTGAGACCCATTTACCTCATGGCCTGAGGCTCTCAAAGAGGGAGAGACGGGACTGCCACCATCTCTTTCAGGGACATGTTCCCAGTGACCTAAAGTCTAAGCTCTGCCCACCCCTCTCTTTTTGTGTTTTGTTTTGTTTTTTTTTCTTCGAGACAGGGTTTCTCTGTATAGCCCTGGCTGTCCTGGAACTCACTCTGTAGACCAGGCTGGCCTCGAACTCAGAAATCCGCCTGCCTCTGCCTCCCAAGTGCCTTTGTTTATTTTGTTTTTATTTATTATATGTAAGTACACTGTAGCTGTCTTCAGACACCCCACAAGAGGGCATCAGATCTCATTGCAGATGGTTGTGAGCCACCATGTGGTTGCTGGGATTTGAACTCATGACCTCTGGGAGAGCAGTCAGTGCTCTTAACCACTGAGCCATCTCACCAGCCCCACAAAACACCTTTTAAAACAGATTTAAAAACAGGCAGGATAACCCTGTCTCAAAAAACCTAAAAAACAAAAACAAAAAACAGGCAGGAGATGTGCTTCAGTAGGTAAGAGGGCTGGCTGCTCTTCCAGAGGACCCAGATTTGATTCCCAACACCCACAATCATCTATAACAACACTTTCAGATGATATAAAGCCTTCTTCTGACCTCCGTGGGCACCCGCACATAGATACGCAATCATACACATAAATAAAAATAATTTTTTAAGTGAATGTTGAGCGCTAGCCTTGACAGTATAGCAAGTTCCAGGCCAAGGCTGTGTGAGACAAGGGCATGGTGGTACATAATTGTAATCCCAGTACTATAGACACACAGCAGCAGGAGGGTTGCTTTGACTTAGAGGCCAGCCAGAACTATAGTGTACTACGTAATACATTCTAGAGTAGACAGACTACATACTAACACCCTGTTTCAAAAGAGTCATAAGCAAGGTCGCTGAAGAGATGACTCAAAAGTTAAAAGCATCTGCTGCTCTTGCAGAGGACCTGAGTTGAGGCCCCAGCGCCCACATGGAGTCTCATGGCTGTTTGGAATTCCAGTCTGTCTTAGTTAGGGTTTGACTGCTGTGAACAGACACCACGACCAAGGCAACTCTTATAAGAACAACATTTAAAGCTGGGCAGTGGTGGCATACACCTTTAATCCCAGCACTTGGGAGGCAGACAGGTGGATTTCTGAGTTCGAGGCCAGCCTGGTCTACAGAGTGAGTTCCAGGACAGCCAGGACTACACAGAGAAACCCTGTCTCGAAAAACCAAAAAAAAAAGAACAACATTTAATTGGGGCTGGCTTACAGGTTCAGAGGTTCAGTCCATTATCACTAAGGTGGGAACATGGCGGCATCCAGGCAGGCATGGTGCAGGAGGAGCTGAGAGTTCTACATCTTCATCTGAAGGCTGCTAGTGGAAGACTGGCTTCCAGGCAGCTAGGAGGAGGGTCTCAAAGCCCACACCCACAGTGACACCCCTACTCCAACAGGACCACACCTTCTAATAGTGCCACTCCCTGGACCAAGCATATATAAACCATCACACAGTCCCACAGGATCTGACACCCTCTTCCAGCCTTGGCAGGCACTAGATGCATGTAGTACACAGACACATCCTCTGGCACACGTATATACACATACATAAAAAGTTTTATGAGGAGGATACACACACAAATAGGAGGGAGAGGAGGAGGGAGGCTCAGAACCGCAGTTTGAATGGCTGAGGTGTATAGATTACCCTCACGGTAGTGGCCATTCACCAGAGGACACAATTAGAGTGGCCTTGTCTCCCTGTGCCTGTTAGTTAGCTGGTAGCTGTCTGTGGCTGTCTTGTGTGGACAGTGCTATGGAGTGACAGGGGAGGTCTCTAGAGCAGACTGATGGGAGCAGCCACTGGCTAAAGACTGATGTCGGGTGCGGGGACAGCCTAGAAGGCAGACTGTGAGCCAGCTCCTCGGGCATTCAGGCAAAGCCATGGAGCCTGCCCAGAGAGACCTCTGTGTTGTGTGGTCCCCGTGCATTGCTCATCTGTGCCCTCTTAGGGCAATTTCTAGGTATTCCATGGGCCTTTAGGCCTTGAAACTCCTGTGAATTAGGAAAAGGCATATGATGTTCATGGCTAGAAATTACGAAAGGAAAAGGAGGGAGTGGGGGGGGGGGTAGGCAGGAGACTGACTCACTCCGTTTAAGCTGTTACTATTTATTTATTTATTTATTTATTTATTTATTTATTTATTTATTTTTTGGTTTTTCGAGACAGGGTTTCTCTGTATAGCTCTGGCTGTCCTGGAACTCACTCTGTAGACCAGGCTGGCCTCAAACTCAGAAATCTGCCTGCCTCTGCCTCCCAAGTGCTGGGATTAAAGGCGTGCGACACCACCGCCTGGCCGCTATTACTATTTATTACTGTTATTGTTGACAGGTCTGTAATCTAGGCTTGGCTGAGTCTGTGTGTACCGGGGACTGAGCCCAGGGCCTTGTGCATGCTCCCAGCTGAGTTACACCTCCAACCCATTTTGGGTTACTGTAGCAGATTACTGAGCTGGGTGTAGTGGTGAGTCCCTACACTCTCAGCACTCTGACGACTGAGGCAGGAGAATGGTTGAGTTTGAGGTCAGTCTGGGTTGCATGGTGAATTCTATGCCTTCAGAGCTTTATGGTGAGACCCTGTCTCAGGAAAAACTAAAAGAAATAAACAAAAAGTTTCCTGTCCTGCTCACCATTCTGGATGTTCCAAAGTCCAAGATCAGGGTTCCCTTGGGTGCAGTGTTGAGTTTGGGCCTCTCCTTCAACTCCACATATCAGTTCCCTGTTGAGTCCTTTCATGGTGGAAAGGGGTCAGGGCCCTCCTTTCTCCACTATAAAGCATTAAATGGCATTAATTCATAACAGGGGGCCAGGAGGGACTGGTTAAGTCACTTTCTGGAAGCACATCTTTAAGACAACGTTTTTTTCATGTTTTTCCTTTTTACGGGGGGAGTCATTTTTCTCTTTGTACTATGTAGGTCCTGGGGATTGAACTCAGGTCATCAGCCTTGGTGGCAAACACCTCTTCCCTCTGAGCCCTCTTGCCGGCCCCCCACTTCTCATACGTTCTTATTTGGGATTATAGTTCAATCTCTGACCTTAGAAGGCTGGTTAGCTTCTTATGCCTATGAGTGACTCTTCTTCTCTTTCTTGTAATTTCCAGCCACCAATATCACAAATGCTTTCCTGATCCAGAGGAAGTTTGAGCCCAGAGGACCTTTGGTAAGAACTGGAGGTTTGGGGTCGGGACTGTGGGCTTATACCAACTTCATCACAGCTCTTCCCAGAGGAGGAGGCAGGCTGCAGAAGAGAATGTGTACGTCTTTGGTGGTTTATTTTTTATTTTTGGCTCCGGGATCAGCAACTGATGGTTCTGGGGGAGAAGGGAACATAGCCCTTCCTGACTCCTGAGCGACAGCTGGACCAGTGCTTCGGTTTGGAAATGGAAGCTCTTCACTGGAGTGAAGGAGATGCAGAGAACAGGATGGGGCTTGGGCTGTCTTCCGCTCTCCCATTTATTTTATTTTCCTTTTCTCCCCTCCTCTCTCCTGACTGGATCTCAAGTAGCCCAGAGGCTCAACTCAGTGTGTAATGGAGAATGACCTTAAACTCCTGAGGCTCCTGTTTCTGCCTCTCAGCCACTGGGAATAATCGTGCATTGCCATGCCCAGGTTTATGTGGTGACTCACACCCTGGGCTCCGGCATACAAAGGCTGGCGCTCTCCTAACTGAGTTACATCTCCAGGGAACACACGTCAGTGCTCTGACTTGAGGAGCCTAGAAGAGGCAGGCCAGGGTCTGGTTCACATGTGTATTCTTTAAGGTTTATTTTTATTATTATTATGTCTGTGTACAATGCACACGTGTGGGTGCTCGCTGAGGCCAAAATGGCATGTAGGACCCCCTGGAGCTGCCCGATATGGGGTGTTGAGAACTGAAATCCAGTTCTCTGGAAGAACAGAAGGTACTTTTGGGGGGGGTTGGGGTTCAAGACAGGATTTGTTTGCATATATCCCTGGCTGTTCTAGAACTCGATCTGTATGTAGACCAGGCTGGTCTTGAACTTACAGAGATCTTTATGTCTTTGCCTCAATAGCTGGACTAAAAGGCATGTGTCACCCAATGCTCAGCAGATGCTTTTAACCTCAGCAGCTTCCTTAGCTGAGAGACTTGTTTCTTTTTCTTTCTTTTTTTTTTTTTCCCTTTTTTATACTGTAGTCATTTTATACTGTAGTCATTTTCAGGGACCTTAAAGACTTCAGCTGTCCTTAAGGCTCGTAACACGGCATCACTATTGCCAGCCTTTTCTAAGTTTCTGCAGAAAGAGACTTGTTTCTTATCTGCAAGCTTCTCCACATCTCTTGAGGATCTGGTTGAAATGCAGAATTCATTCCGAAGGACCTGGGTGGACCTGACTCTGTTCCCAGAGCAGCCAGGAAGCAGCAAGGTTGTGGTTTTGATGAGCAGTTCTGCTGAGTCTGCTGGGAGCAGAGAGGCCCAGGTGGGCCTACCTTCTCAGCTCTTCCCTGCAGGTTGCTGCAACAGGCCTTGTTTGCAAAAAAGCTCTGCTGGAGGTCTGCAGAGCCTGCTCAGGGAGGCGGAGCCATTTCCTGGAACCTCTCCAGGTTTCCTTTTTCTATTCTGACATTGAACTGTTGCTTCTGGACAGCAGGTCTCAAGATCAGGATTCACACAAAAAGAGTGAATTGTGCATAATGGATAAATTTGGGGCTGGTTTTTTCTTGTTGCTGCTGTTAATGGTATAAGGTGTTACGGGGAGCCTGCCAGATCCCACCAGAGATAATCACTTAGGCACAGTTCATACCCACTTGAAAAGTCTTTATTCTAGCTAGCTGGGACTACACTCAAGTTTTGGTGACCTCAGTATAGTCCTGAGAATTTAGACCAAGGGGCTTTTAAAGGGGGAAAAAATATATATCTGTTATCTCTGTTAGCAGCTTCAGGGGAGGATTGCTCAAGCAAGCAGTTTAACAGAAGCCAAGATAATTTAGCTGGGGCATCTTAACCTCAGGGCCTAGAATCGAATTGGATAGTTTTCCACTGGCTTCTTCATCAAGGAGATTAAATACTGGTTAAACCTGAAATGGCTCCAGCAAGAATACAAGATGGGAGAGGCAGTGGCGCACACCTTTAACCACAGAACTTGGGAGGCAGAGGCAAGCAGGTCTCTGTGAGTTCGAGGCTAGCCTGGTCTATAGAGTGAGTTCCAGGTCTATAGAGTGCTATACCCTCTGTACTGTCTTGCCCTGTCACACAGGGATTGAATCCAATGCTTGTACACGGTAGACAATTTCTCTACCACTGAGATATATCCCCAGCCCTTGGGTTTTTGTGTTTCATTTCCAATATGGTCCTGCGAGGTAGCCTCCGGTGGGTTTCAGATTAACTACGCAGTCTAGACTGACTTTGAACTCAGAATTCTCCTGCCTCAGCTTCCCAAGTGCTTGGATTATAGTTATGCATCACCATGTCCGACCTGAGCTATTAATTATGGAACTGTCGTGCCTGACTAAATGTCTTGGTATTGGGGGGAAGGGACAGGAAGTGTGGGACATTCCCAGCTGACAAAACTGACGAAGATAAAAGTCTTTTAGGAATCAATTGTCCCAAAATATCCGTGGAGGGTCGGGTGTAAGATACTCGAGTCCTTTCTGTAAAATGATGCACTTCCTGTAGACTTACACAGCACATCCTATCCTGGGTGTAATTCTTCTCTAGGTTGCTTGTACCTGACCCAGTATAGATGCTGTCTGGATAGTCATATTAATTTATTATTTAGGTAATAATGACAGAGGTGGAGGAGTTTATGCATGTTCAGAACTGATGCAAAGTTTTCTTTTTTTAAAAAAAAACATTTTTCTAAAAAAAAAATATATAAGGTCTCATGTAGCCCAGGTTGGCCTCCAACTCACCAAAGATTACCTTGAATTTATAATCCTCCTGCCTCTACAACCTGAGTCCTGGGTTTACAGGTGCGTACCATCACACCTAGTTTTTGCAGGGCTAGGGACAGAACCCAGGGCTTCATTCATGCCAGACAACCATTCTCCCAGTTGAACCACATCCAGATATTTCTGATTGTTAATAGGTTGGATCTACAATGCAGAACCCATGGATTTGGAAGGTTGACTGTGCTTGTATTATGTAAGATGAAATTATACAATTGGTGGACACTCAGACCCAATATAGATACTGTTGCAATTGGAGGCCTTCGTGGGACCCTCCCTGCTCTCCCAGAAGCACTTATATCAACCTCCCTTGCTACCCGTTCCTTGGAGACACAGCAGGGCTGTACAGGGACACCTCAGCATCAGTTGAAGGTCATAAGTGTCTCCTAAGCAGCACCCCCTTTCCCTTTCAGATCAATTCCGAGTTCTATACTGGCTGGCTAGACCACTGGGGTCAACCCCACTCCATGGTGAAGACCGAAATCGTGGCTGCCTCCCTCTCTATGATGCTTGCCCAAGGGGCCAACGTGAACTTGTAAGTACCCAGGACTGGGAAAGGGAGCCCCATGACTGTGGCTCACAGTGAAGTATATGTGTTCTCTTATTTCCCCATAGGTACATGTTTATAGGTGGGACCAATTTTGCCTATTGGAATGGTAAGATCTGTTTCACATCCATTGGTAAAAGCTTATCCTGTTTCCGGTGTGTGATTTAGGAGATGGTGTACCTATGGCCAATATTTATTTTCTGTTTCTATTTGTCTTCTAAATTTTTTAACGTACAAGAATCACCTGTCTGCTCATTTGAGTGTGAAAATAACCTTAAGGGCCTTGGCTGATCGTTTATGGGACTTATTTTTAAGCTAGTCTGTCTGGCATTCTGGTGTGGCGGTGTGTGTTTATACACTCTCTGCTCTGGTCTTTCTGTGTGTACGTTCATGTGTTGTGCAGATGGGTGCATACATGTGTATCTGTGGGTGTGCATACGTGTGGAGGCCAGGGACAGCCTCGAGTGTTGGTCCTCGGATACCAGCTATCTTTTTCTGTTGTTTTGTTTTTTTTTTTTTTAAACAAGATCTTTCACAGACCGGGATCTTACCAAGTAAACAAAGCTGGCCACTGAGCCAAGGGAGTCTCCTGCTCCACTGATTGATCTGTCTGTCTGTCTGTCTGTCTGTCATTATTACATGTATTTACTTATGTGTATGTGGGGGTCAAAGAACAACCCATAGAGTTGGTCCTCTTCTCCCACCCTGTGGGTCGTGGGGATTGAGCTCAGATGCTTGGGCCTGGTGGGACATCTTTACCACTGAGCCATCTCTCCACTCCCATTTTAATTGTTTGTTTTTTTTTTTTAATCATAAAACTGATGATGTTAGCCAGGCAGTGGTGACACACACCTTTAATCCCAGCACTTGGGAGGCAGAGGCAGGCGGATTTCTGAGTTTGAGGCCAGCCTGGTCTACAAAGTGAGTTCCAGAACAGCCAGGGCTACACAGAGAAACCCTGTCTCGAAAAACCAAAAAAAAAAAAAAAAAAAAACCAAAAAAACAAAAAACAAAAAACAAAACCTGATGATGTTAAATAAGAATTCTAAGCATTCTCAAAGTTGCACAGCCCTTACCCTCTAATTCTGAAACATTCTCCCACTGGCTGGAAAGAGACTGCACATTGCCACACTGACTCCTCTCTCTCTTCCTCACGGCCCCTGGAGGTCACTGAGCTCTTCCCCGCTGCCAGGGACTCTCCTGCCCTGGATATTTCTTATAAAGGCAACCATGTAATATGGAGGTAATTATATTAGGTAATTTGTAATTAATTACAAGTAATGTAATTTCTTTGATTTAGTCTAATATGTTCAAGGCTCATCCATGTTCTATCGTGTGTTAAATCTTTATTTTTATTGCTAAATAATATTCTAGGGTTAGGGTATGACTCAGTTGCTAGGGTGCTTGCCTCGCATGCACAGGGCCCTGGGTTTGAGCCCCATGTACTCCCACATGGTGATACATGTTTCTAATGCCAGCACTTGGGAGGAAGAGGTGAAAGGTAATTTTCAGACTGTACAATAAGTTAGTGGCCACTTGTGACAGTCTTTCAAAAAATAGAAGAAAGTGAAGGCTTAGCCAGGTGTGGTGGTGGGAACTTATAATCCCAGCATTTGGGAGGCAGAGGCATAATTACTACAAGTTTGAGGCTAGCCTGATCTACATAGTGAGTCCTAGGCCAGCCAGAGTTACATAGTGAAATTCTGTCTTAAAACAAAACAGTAAGTAAACAAACAAACAAACAAACAAGTAATAAGATTTAAAAAATAAAATAAAAGCTGTTCTTAGCCCCCAGGCCTTGTCCCTGCTGTGTTGGTGGGAATCTGTCTCCTCTCTGTCTTCATAGAGTTCTCTTACCATGCTTGTTCAGACTGGTGACTATTGGCATCAGTTTACAGATAAGAATATGTGGATGCCCAGAATCATCCCCAAGTGGCACATACGCAAACACAATTAGTTAACTCAGTGTTTCATCCATTCAAAACAAGATGGTAGCTAGTCCCTGGCTTTTATATTCACATGCACACATAGGCATGCCCACCTATACATACATGTGCACCTGTGTGCCTGTGTGCTCATGTGTGCATGCATACACACACACACACACAAAGAACTAGAAAAGTACACTTGTTCTTCCTGCACACCACACACTGATCATCCCCCACCCCCATGCCAGGCTCAGGCTGAGGACTCAGGGTCAGTCAGCACAGGCCGGTCTGCCCTTACAGAGTATGAAGCTTAGTACAACAGATGAGTCATATGAGAAATCCACTCTGGAGAGGAGCCACACAGAAGGTGAACTCCTTAGGTGAGGATGTGGTTTTTAGTCTCTCTGTGTCTCAGGGGAAGGAATGTATTTGAACCTGTACTTCCCCTGGGGCAGACAGACCTGGTGGAGAGTTGCCTCTGAGGAGTAGGAAGTAAAAGAAATTAACACACCAGTCTGTTGGCTTGTTATCACCAAGCATTGGTGAGCTATCATGTTTTGTGCCTCATTTACTTACAAATTAGGTTCTTAAGAAGAGCCATCATAGAACAACCGTTCTCATGTGTGTATGGCAGTCATAGAACAACCGTTCTCATGTGTGTATGGCCGTCATAGAACAACCGTTCTCATGTGTGTATGGCCGTCATAGATCAACCATTCTCATGTGTGTATGGCAGTCATAGAACAACCGTTCTCATGTGTGTATGGCCGTCATAGATCAACCATTCTCATGTGTGTATGGCAGTCATAGATCAACCATTCTCATGTGTGTATGGCCGTCATAGATCAACCATTCTCATGTGTGTATGGCAGTCATAGAACAACCGTTCTCATGTGTGTATGGCCGTCATAGAACAACCGTTCTCATGTGTGTATGGCCGTCATAGATCAACCATTCTTATGTGTGTATGGCCGTCATAGATCAACCGTTCTCATGTGTGTATGGCAGTCATAGATCAACCATTCTCATGTGTGTATGGCCGTCATAGATCAACCATTCTCATGTGTGTATGGCAGAGTGCTGCTGAGCTAGAAGAAGAGGTAGAAACTTTGCAGGCTCACAGTTAGCTGCAGCAGCGATGCTATCTCAAGGGCTGCAGGTGGCATCCTCTTGGCACAGTGCCAGCTTAGCCTGCATGAGGCCCCAGCACTGCATAAACCAGGTTTGGTGATACATGCCTGTGACCCCAAACATCCCTGTAATTCCAAGTGACACACTTGTGGTCCCAGATATACCCCTGTGATCCTAGATACACACCTGTGACTCCAGACACACACCAGTGACCCCAGATACACACCTATGATCCCAGATACACACCTGTGATTCCAGCACCTGAGAGACACACTTCTGATCTCAGATATACACCTGTGATTCTAAATATGCCTATGACCCCAGACACACACCCGTGACCCCAAATACACACCTGTGATTCCAGCACCTGAGAGGGACACCTGTGATCCTGGCACCCGAGAGGTAAGAGGCAGATCAGAAGTTTGGTATCATTCTTGGCTACATAGCTTGTTTGAAGCTAACCTGGACCTTGTCTAAAAGAAAAGGGAAGAAAGACCACTTCTGCCCCCACCCCCAACCACACATCCGCTTCCCCACCCCCACCCTCACCCCCAATCCCTCACAGGAACCAGGTTCCAGAGCAGGGCTCAGATCTTTCTGCAGACTCCTCATGCATGGGTAAATTTTCAAAGGACTAACCGATAGTTCAGGGAGCGCAAACTTGTCACTGGTCAAGTTCTGGGAAGTTGTAGTGATTGTGCTTCCCCATCGCTGTGACAAAAACCTAACAAAACCAAACCTAAGGAAGTGTTCAGGAGCCTGAGGCTGTTGGCCGAGTCATATCTGCAGTCAGGAAAGGGCCAGAGATGAACGCTGATACTCAGCTGGCTTCGTCTTTACTGTGGGACACCAGCTCACAGGGGTACGGTAGCTTCTTCCCTATCTAGGTAGAGCCCCTCCTAGGTGCCTCTAAGTCCTGTTGAGTCAATAATATAAACCATCACAGAAGGTGCTCCTTGGCTGTGTTCTCAGGGACAGCATCTGGCACACAGAAACAACAGAGTGTAGAAGACAAGGTGAGGTAACTCTGTGAACGAGGTGCATGTGTGTGTGTGTGTGTGTGTGTGTGTGTGTGTGTGTGTGTGATGTAACTCTGGAAGAAAGAAGTCAGGGTGATTTAACTGTTGGTGAGAAGGTCGGTGGTGGTGTAACTCTGGGACAGGGAGGCAAGGGAAGGAGGTTTTATGTCCCCAGACTGATTAGCTGTTAGATAAAGGCTTTCCCCGGAGGGATGGAAACTGAGAAAAAGCAGATCGGGGCACCGGCTCCTCATCCAGGGGACCCAGGTTAGATTCCTAGGACCCACATGGTGGCTCACAACCGTCTGCACCTCCAGTCCCAGGAGATCTGACACACTCTTCCAGCCTCGGTGGATTACACATGGTGCACAGATATGCATGCTGGCAAAACACCTACATGTAACATGCAAAAAGAGAACGACCTTGAACTCTTCCAGCTCCACCTCCCGAACACGCAGTTACAGGCGTGTGGCAGTGTATCTGGTGTCTGCACTGCTAGGGAGGCGCTTGACCAGCTGTGGGAACGGTATCCCACCTCTGATATTTGGGGCTTTAATGTGTCTTCCACTTCTCTTCACCCTAACATGAGCCCCTGAGCAATGACCTCAAGTGACCGGTGACATGACTTTTCTATCTTCTAGGTGCCAACATGCCCTATGCGCCACAGCCCACCAGCTATGACTACGATGCCCCACTGAGCGAGGCAGGAGACCTCACTAACAAGTATTTTGCCCTTCGAGATGTCATTCGGAAGGTGGGTCCTTCAAACTCTCAGTGAGCTGAACTGCCGGGGAGCCTGCCATGAACCCCTCGTGGCTCTGTAGGTGGCTCCCTTACTAATGGAGGAGAAGGAGGGAGGCACAGGTTTGGGGTACAGCCGTGCCTGGGGAAGACCCCGTGAGTTTATCAACAAGGCTCTAGGCTCTGCACCCCTCATCTGTGAGGCTGGGGTTAGGGTTCCGAATCATGCCGTAGAGAGAGCAAAGGGCACGTGTGAGCCATCCAGCCTGGTCTGTACACTGTGTGCAGCAAATAGAAGCCAGAAAATGTGTCCTTGTGGTGGCTCAAGTGTGTAGGGAAGGAAATCGATAACCACCGTGTGGAGAGCAGCGGTGACCTGTGCAGAGAGGGATGCTGTGCTCCATCTCAGGCAAGCGACTGCTGTTTCCTCTAGCTGGCTCTGGAACGTCTCTGTTCAGGCAGCAGCCAGCCTTTGAAGCACCTAAGGCTCTCAGGTGGGGTTTCCTGTCTCTGCGGTGAATTAAAAAAAAAAAAAATGCAAACCCACAGTTTTTTTGCTCAGTCACCTGAGTTTTGAAGTTAAAAAAAAAAAAAAAGATAGGTTGTCTGCCTATAAGTAAGTGGTAAAAGCTAAGTCTCCTGTAATGTCAATTTAATGTGTTAAGATTTGTGTTCAGAAATATTTTCTTTTCTTTTTTTTTGCGGGGGGGGGGTGGTTGGTTTATGTTTTGAGACAGGGTCTCTCTGTGTAGGTGAGATTCATACTTGGAACTCACAGAAATCTGCCTGCCTCTGCCTCCCGAGAGCTGTGCACCACCACACCTGGTGTGTTATGGAATAAAAATGATATCAACCTGATGTGGTGCAGGCCTGCAACCTAGATCCAGAGCAAGAGGATCAGGAGTTAAGTCTTCCTCAATTATATGATTCGTGGCCTCAGCTACATAAGACCATATCTCCAGGAAGGAAGGAAGGGAAGGAAGGAGGGAGGGAGGGAGGGAGGGAGGGAGGGAGGGAGGGCAAATATATTCTCACCTAAAATTTCCTTTCTCTTTTAAAATTTTTATTTATTATTTAAGATTTGCATGCATGTGTGTGTGTGTGTGTGTGTGTGTGTGTGTGTGTGTGTGTGTGTGTTTGTATGTATGTACATGTGTGTGGGTACCTGAGGATGCCAGAAAGGTCATTGAATCCCCTGGAGCTGGAGCTAACAGGCTGTTGAGAGCTGTCCGATGTTGTTGATACCTTGAATCGGAGTTTCCTGAAGGAGCAACAAGCACCCTTAACCACTGGCCTCTGACTCCAGCCCTGTTCATTGTAACTCTTGATATACAGAGACTGGTTTCTGTTTTGCAGGTGTGTATGTATGTACTTGTAAGTATACATGCACATCTTCCTTGACTTCTCCCCACCCTGTTTTTGAGGCAGGGTCTCTCACTGCCCCTGGAGTTCACTGGCCAGCAGGGCCCCCAGACTGTCCCATCTGTAGTATCACAGGCACGTGCCATCCTGCCTAGCTTTTTGTGGGGCTGAGGATAGAACTCAGCTCCTTTGCTCCAGTGCCTGGCACTCCTTCAGCACCTGAGCCCCAAGGAGAGATCAATTTCAGCTTTTTTAAAAAATTTCTTCGTGTTCTCCGTTCTCTTGTTTTTCTTCTTTGTATATTACTTTCTCTTCATCTTGTTTGAGGATGTTTTGGTTTTCTTGTTTCTTCTGGTTAGGAAGTTTGTCTCTCTCTGTGTTTCTGTTTTCTTACCTATTCAACCCTGTTATCTATGCCCTTAGAAGAACAAACAGGGCTCCTGGGGCTACCGTGTATGGGAAGTGAGCCGCACACGGCAGCCAACGCCCAGCAGGAGCCTCCCTGGTGCCCCTCCATCTTCCTCTTCACCCACCCCCCTGCCCGGGGCTAACCACTGCCCCAACTCCTGTTGCCACAGAGTCAGGGAACTTGTTTTGAACTTGATATAAATGAATTCATATGATACAAAGTAGATTCATACAGGTCACACCTTGGTGTCTGGCCGTCAGGAAACTCCATCCCTCCTTTGTAGTTTATAATAAATAGCATAGAACCCGGTTGATAGAGTGCTTGCCTGGCACGCACGAAACCCTGGATTTGGCCCCTACGTCTGTGCAGGGTGTGGTGATACACATCTGCAGTCCTAACATTCGGGAGGACAAAGAGTAAGAGATTCAGAGCCATCCTTGGCTACATAGTAAATTTGAGGCCATCATGGACTACCTGAAACTGTACCTGGAAAAAAAAATTATTTAAAAATGCACTAAGGGGCTGGTGAGATGGCCCAGCACTTCCTTGACTTCAGTCCTCAGTACCCACGAAACCTAAGCTAAACATGAAAGCAAACACAAGTAATCCCACTTGGGAGGTGAAGGCCAGAGGGTCAGGAGTTCAGGGCTATCCTCAGCAACCTTGAGACTTTGCTACTTGGGGTCCTGTTTTAATTTTACTTAATTGGTGCTATAATGGCTTCAGATGATTAAACAGGCATATGTCATGTACTGTTTTGAGCTAGCTGGTTTTATCTACTTGGTACATACAGGCTTTCCTGCTGAAGGTAAAACCTGTACAAAGACTTCAGGGAGAGACCAGAGAGCAGAGCATTGAGTTGATAGCCAGGGCTAGGACATTGGCAGGACTCAGTCAGCGCTAGGAAGGTGCCCTGATTCTAGAATCTATTGGACAGCACCCAGCAGGTGACATCTGGGGAGCCGATAAAACCAGAGTCAAGTATAGAACGGTTGCATCCCTCTCCTGGGCCAGACAGAGACCTGAGTAAGTGAGGACACATGAGGATGCATGGGAGGGTTGGGCAGAACCGCTGGAGGGTTATGCAGGCCATAGTATGCAGGCTGCAGGAACTGACCAGGGAGAGGGCCCCAGTGAAGCCGGAAGACCAGTCAGGGACTGGTGGGGACTGGTGGCGGCTGCGGTGTGTGTCTACACATCACCAGTCAGACTCAGACCACAATATGAAAGTGGAAAGCCACATGCCCTGGCTCACACCTATAATCTCAGCCCTTGAGGAGCCGAGGGAGGACGGTTACCATGAGTTGGAGATCAATCTGGGCCACAACGTAGTGAGTTCTAGGCCAACCAAAGCTAGCTATAGGGTGAAATCCTGTCTTAGGGATGGATGGAACTGGTGAGACGGGAGGGGAAGGAAGGGAGAATGCAGATACTCATGACTTTCTGGGGTAAGTGTGAGGGAAAAGGGCAAGAATCAAAGGCCTCAGCTGGTGGGAGGCTCAGTGAGTCAGGTGCTTGTCTCTCAGGCTGAGGATCTGAGTTCAGGTCCCAGGATCCACATTGGTACAGAGAGAAAAGTGACTCCTGAAACTGTCCTCTGACCTCCATATGCAAGCTGTGGCAGTCTGTGTGTGTGTATAATAATAACAATAACAATAATAATAATAGCATGTGCATATAATAATAATAACAAAACCAACAATAATAATAAGTATTATTATTGTTATTATTATTGTTGTTGTTATTTCATTTTTCAAGCCAGGGTTTCTCTGTATAGCCCTAGCTGCTCTGTAGACTAGGCTGGCCTTGAACTCAGAGATCCACCTGCCTCCTCAGCATTCTGAGACTAAAGGTATGCACCACCACCACCTGGCTCAGGAATGGCTTGTTTTAAAAGGTTCCATGGAGTGGTCTGTTTCCCCCAGTGCTGGGGTCACTCCTAGGGTTGAGCATGCTCAGTGAGCACTCTGCACTGAGCAACGTCTCTGGCTCTTAGTGGTGTTTCTTCTGGAACTTGCAGATACACAGGTAACTCATTTGTTAAAGTATTTGGAATATTTGCTTGCATGAAGGGAAATATCTAATGACATGAGGGCCCATGTAGACTCTCCTGACCCGTCCCTTCACCAGAGACTTAGGGAGTGGAAAGTCTCTTCCCGTGAGACGATGTCAGGGTTACCCAAATGGAGATGGTCAGTGTCTCCCCCTGCCTTGGGCTTTGGAGAGAACGGCTTCCCAGCAGCAGGCTGCATAAGCCTATACTCACTGGTAAAGGTCACGTGTGAGTCTTCAAGGCTTGACAAGACTTGACATTTGCATTTCTCTAAGATACTGTCTTTGGTGTGGGTAGAACTAAAGTAGGCACGGTTAACACTTTGACCATAAAACTCCAGGGCAGAGTGTTGTATCTCCATCCCTTTACCCCTCCTGTCCTGAAGAGACAGGCATGCCTCTATGAGCTCTTGATTAAATTGGTAACCTGTTTTAACAGTTCTATCTTAATCCTGACTGTGCCACTGTGTGTGTGTGTGTGTGTGTGTGTGTGTGTGTGAGAGAGAGAGAGAGAGAGAGAGAGAGAGAGAGAGAGAGAGAGAGAGAGAGAACGAGTATGTGTGGGTATATGAGTGTGAGAGAGCATGCATATACCTATATATGTGTGTGAGAGTGTATAGGTGTGTGTCTTAGTGAGGGTTTTGCCGCTGTCAGCAGACACCATGACCAAGGCAAGTCTTATAAGGACAACATTTAATTGAGGCTGGCTTACAGGTTCAGAGATTCAGTCCATTATCATCAGGGCAGGAACATGGCAGCATCCAGGCAGGCATGGGGCAGGAGGAGCTGAGAATTCTACATCTTCATCTGAAGGCTGCTAGTGGGAGACTCGGTTCTAGGCAGCTAGAGGGTCCTAAAGCCCTAAAATGACACACCTACTCCAACAAGGCCACACCCACTAATAGTGCCACTCAGGTGGTCCTGTGCTAGCCAGACCAGCACTCAGTCTTGGGTCCAATTTCCAGCTAGTCCTTAACTGAGCATGGTGGTGTGCTCCTGTAATCTTATCACTTTGGGGGCAAGGCAGGACTATAAGGAGAGCCCTTCAACCTTATCTCTCAGTTCTCCCCTTTTTATGTTTAACGCTGGCCCTAAATGGACCAAAACCACCCAGAGAGCTATGCTGAATGGAACACAGCTCCTTGTTACCCCTGAGCCCACTCACCACTGTCCTCCACGGGGGGAATGAGTGTACCCCTCAGGAGGCTGACCCACTCCGGGACTTATTTACCTTTTTTTATTTTGCATTTTTTGTTGTTCCTACTATGTGTTTGTTTGTTACAGTCTCACTGTGTAGCCCTTGCTGGAACTCACTGTGTAGACCAGGCTAGCCTCAAACTCTCAGAATTGCTGGCCTCTGCTTCCAGATGTTGGGATAGCGGATTAAAGTCCTGTGCTACCATACTTGACCTCAGTATGTGTGCATGCATGCCTATGTGTGCATGTGTACCTGCATGTATGTGTGTGTATGTGTAAGAGCTCACGTACACTCTTGTGAGCTTGTCCAAGCATGCTTGTGTAAAGGACAGAGACCAACTTCTGGTGTCTTCCCCTATCTCTGTCTGGTTTGTTTTTGAGATAGGGTCCCTCACTGAACTCTGAACTTGCTGTATCAGCTAGGCTGGCTGCTGCAGCCCTGGGGATCTACCCATTTCTGAATCCCCCTAGTGCTGGGGTCTCATGTGAGTTCTGAGGATCTGAAATCAGGTCCTCATGCCTCTGTGGTGGGCACCCTGCCCACTCAGCCATCTCCCCAGCCTAGCCATCGGCCTTTGACTCATCTCTGGGTGAAGTCTCTCATGCTGTTTCCTGGCTGTGTAGTGATGGGGGAAATCTTTGCTCCACGACTTACTGCCAGGTTGATACAGCCTGCCGTGGCTTTTCTCACTCTTTGAGCGAGGACTGTTTTTAGCTACAGTGACATAGCATCACCACACAAAGCGCTTTCTAAGCAGAATCTTAGATGAATGAATGGGGACCGGAGACTGGAGTGGGAAAAGCCAGTTTCCCTGGAATCTGCTGAATTCCCTGAGGGGAAAGAACAGCTGTTTGCTGGGTATGCATCTTTGAATGCAATGACAGTTAGTTGACAGAGACATAAAGGATAGGAGGTAAAATGTTTGTGTGTATTTGAAACATTAATTACCTGGATAGAATGTTATGATTTTGCTAAGCAGCAAACTAGTACCAATAAAAAGTTATTAAACAGAATCAGGCATGGAGGTCCACAATTTTAATCTCAGCACTTAAGAGGGAGAGGCAGGCGGATCTCTGAGTTTGAGGTCAGCCTGCCCTACAGAGTAAACTCCAGGACAGCCAAGACTACACAGAGAAACCCTATCTTGAACAAAGAAAAGAAAAGGAAAAAATATTATTATTATTATTTTTTTTTGGTTTTTCGAGACAGGGTTTTTCTGTGTAGTCCTGGCTGTCCTGGAACTCACTCTGTAGACCAGGCTGGCCTCAAACTCAGAAATCCACCTGCCTCTGCCTCCCAAGTGCTGGGATTAGGCGTGCGGCACCACTGCCCGGCAAAAAAAATTTTTTTACAGATGAATGTCTAAAGGGTTAAACGTTTTTTTCTCTCCTCTTCCCCACTGTGCTTTATAGTTTAAAGAAGTCCCAGAAGGACCTATCCCTCCATCTACACCCAAGTTCGCATACGGAAAAGTTGCTCTGAGAAAGGTAAGACAGGGTACAGGGTTGGTGGTGTGGGTCAGTGGTTAGAGTGCTTGCCGGGCACGAGCGGATCCCCGGGCTCTACCCTCAGCACCATATAAACCAGCACACATCCAAGGTCATCCTTAACTACAGAGTGAATTAGACGCTGACCTAGGCTACATAAAACCCGTCTCGGAAAGAACGAAAAAAGTCAGATCCTCACTTAGAGTCTGATGGGGGAGGCACAGTGAACGAGGTGTCATCAGCCTGCCGGGGGGCTTGCTCGCTCGGAAGGGTCGGCATTTCTAGAGGGCTGGGGAGAGGGAAGAGAGGACGCGTGTGCAAGCTGGCAGGATGCAGGCGGTGGTGCTCGTGGGCCGCTCGGTTCATTTTGGTTCGGTGCTTGGTTTTGAAAAGCAGTGCTGCGGGCGGCGGTGAAGTGACATCACACTGCATAATTCTGTCCAGTCAGGCTTTCTCCTATCATTTGCCCCTCTATTATTTTTTTTTTCTTTATTACATTTATTTCTTTGGTTGGGAGACATCCATTCCTTGGCACCCAGCTGGAGGCCAGTGAACAGCATGGAGGAGTCAGTAGCTCTTTCTACCGTGCATCTGGGGATTCGAACTCATGTCATCAGACACGGTGACAAGTACCCTTCTCCACTGAGCCCTCTTGACAGTCCCATCCACCCCTTTTTAATGAGTTTCTCCAAGCCACAGAAATTTTGATGTCTCTGTTCTTAAATTAGATCCAAAAAAAAATCATACCATAGTGACTCTTTGAATACTGGAACATCAGAGGAAAAAGATAGAAATTAATCATTAATAAGAGTTCAGGTAATTTTATTCTGTGGAGGAAAGGAGAGAGTTACTTAATGGTTTACAAAATTGGTTTGTTTTGACTCTTTGGGTCTCCGGTTTTCCCCTAACTCCATCCTTTACTCCTACGTGTATTCATTCACCAGAAAAAAAAAAGAAGAAGAAGAAAACATGAATAGTCACTTATTTCTTAAGAACTTGAAATTCTAAAATAGCAGCGTACATTCTTATCTTTGAGGCAAACACCAAACATCATAGCATGGTTTTCCACTCGTAGCCTTAAGCTTCTGGTTGGCTGGCCGAGCTGCCGTAATAGTTTCCATTGTAATGTCAGATCCTGTGCCACAGTCTACAAAGAACGTGGTTGCTGATAGGAATCTCTTCTTAGATTAAGCACGCTTGAATCACACTTGGGAAGGGGCACATGTTCATCTCTGTAGCTACTTAAGAAAAAATGGTCGCTTGGTTTTAAAACAGTCAAGAGTTCTTTCCTGTGATATAGACAGCTGCAAATGCTTAAAACAACAATACCAAAATTGAAAAACCGTGAAGAAATACAGCTTAGTGTTAGAAAGGAAATCAGTAAGTTGGCATGGGAGCTCGTGCCTATAATCCTGAGGGGGCTAAAGCAAAAGGATTCCTGCCAAGTTCAAGGCCAGCCTTTGCTACATAGTGAGTTTGAGGCTAGCCTGGGCTTTAGAGAAAGATTCTGTCTCCAAAAGAATGGTGTGGGGGTGGGGGGAAGCAGATGTGATTTTAATCCCAGCACTTGGGAGTAAGGCATGAGGATGAGATGTTCAGGGTCACCTTGGATCACATAGAGATTTCTAGCCTGGGCTACAGGAGACACTCACTGTCAACTCGACACAAAACACAGAAAGCTGGGAGGGAGGGAATCAGCACACAACTTTTTTCAATTTATATAAGATATAGTATATAATAGTGTATATAATAAAGTTTTATTTAAAATTGTATGTTTGTGTGTGTACTTGCACACACTTGTAGAGTTCAGAGGGCAACTTTCAGGAGCCGTGACACAGGCTCAGAACACATGCCACATAGGCTTGGAAGACAGTGGAGCGACCGTGACCAAGCCTGTGACAGGGCTTTGGCAGATCTGATCTTAGAGTCCATGACATAAGCCTGTGACAAGGCCCTGGCAGATCTAATCTTAGAGGCATTTGCCTCTACCTACTATCTTTGCTTCAGAGCTCTTCCTCACTTGAAAACATGTTGTGGTACATCACAGAGGCGGCCTCCTGTCTCAGGGGCCGTTCGTTTTGAGGCCTTTCTTAGAGAGCTCTGAGCTGTATTTCTGAATGGGTGCACTTGAAACCCTCTTTAAGACTTTCATCGTTTACATTCTTATCAAGAGTTAGGAACAGGCCCTGGAGAGATGGCTCAGCAGTTAAGAACACTGACTGCTGAGCTGGGCGGTGGTGGAGCATGCCTTTAATCCCAGCACTTGGGAGGCAGAGGCAGGCAAATTTCTGAGTTCGAGGCCAGCCTGGTCTACAGAGTGAGTTCCAGGACAGCTCGGGCTATATAGAGAAACCTTGTCTCCGAAAAAAAAAAAAAAAGAACACTGACTGCTTTTTGTTTTGTTTTGTTTTGTTTTGTTTTGTTTTGTCTGAGACAGGGTACAGGTTTTGTCTGTACAGTCCTGGGCATCCTGGATCTCGATATGTAGATCAGGCTGGCCTCAAAGTCACAGACATGTGCCTGCCTTCCAAGTGATAAGATTAAGGTTGTATGCCACTATGTCTGGCTTTGACCGATCTTCCAAGGATCCAGGTTTGATTCCTAGCATCTACATGGCAGCTCACAACCATCTGTGACTCCAGTTCCAGGTTCTGACACTCTCTTCTACTCTCCTTAGGTGCTTAGGTGCACACACATGGTGCACAGACATATGTCAGGCCAAACACACACACACACACACATATATAATAAGAGAAAAGAACAGGTTTCAGACACGCTTGGGCACACCTTTAATCCCAGCATTTGGAGGACAGGGCAGGCAGATCTCTGAGTTTAAGGCCAGCTTGATCTACATAGCAAGTCCCAGGCCAGCCAGGACTACATAGCAAGACCTTGTCTCCAAATAAAATAAAACAAAATAAGTTACAAGCAAGGCCCAGGGCTTGCCGCTCAATGGTAGAGAACTTACTTATCTAGTTTGTGTGGAATCCGCTCATAGACGGGTATAGTGACGCACACCTTGAATCTCAACACTTGGAAGGAAGAAGCCAATGGATCTTTGTGAATTCGAAACTCAGTGTATAGAGTGAGTTCAAGGATGGCTAAGGCTGTCACATAGAAAAACCTTGTCTCAAAAAACCAAAAAAAAAAAGAAACAAGCCAACCAACCCTAGGTTCAATCCCCAGGGCTGCAGAAAACAGTAAGAAATAAAGTGAGTAGGTACTAGGTTTTAGCTGAGTTAGTGGAGGGCCCGCCTGGCTTGTAGAAAGCCCTGGGTTTGAACCCCAACAGTACATAGGGTGGGTGTGGTTGAACACTCAGGTAACCCTAGCACTTGGAGGATCAGAAAAGCAAGGTCAGCCTTGGCCACATAGAAAGCCTGCCTGGGACACTTGAGGCCCTGTCTCAGAAAGAAAGGGAGAGGGAGAGGGGGTTGTGGGGGGGAAGAGAGAAGAAAACAGGGAGTGGGTGGTTAAGATCAAAGGGGATTGTGAAGCAAGTGGAACTTGGACAGTTGAGGCCTATCTCAATGTCTTTGTTAAGTCAGACTAATGTAACCTCCCCTCCCACCCCCCACGGGTGACAGCACACTGAGTCTGGTTCTGCTTCTTTTCAGTTCAAGACGGTGGCCGAAGCTCTGGGTATCCTGTGTCCCAATGGGCCTGTGAAAAGTGTCTACCCCTTGAAGTTCACTCAGGTAAAACAGGTAGGTCTGTCTCCACAGGGAACGCTTTGTCTTTCTATTCCTGGCAACACAGGTGTGTCCTTATTGCTTCCTGGGCGTCGTTATTTTATTGGGAGCTGCAGTTAGGACTCAGTTGGTAAGGTGCTTGCCTGGCGTGAACAAAGCCCTGAGTTCGATCCCTGCTCCCCAATAACTCATAAACGAGGCATGGTAGCAAGCATGTAATTCCAGCTTGTGGGAGGTGGAGGGAGGGAGGTAGGAGGCTCAAAAACTCAAGGTCATTCTCAGATACTTGGTATTCGAGGCCAACCTGGGCTACATAAGATTCTGTCTCAAAAAACCCCCTGTCAGGTTAAGTTTTCATTCTTAGAGGTTCTGTTTCCTGCCTTGGGAAGAACGTTGGTGTGCTCTGTGCTTGTGTGTGCTTCATTCCTGGCACTTCCTTGTCTTGTTAGAAGTTTCTCCCAGCTTTTTATTTCGTGGGATTTTGCCCTATACACGTTTCATCCGGTTCATCAGTTGGCAGCTGCTTTTCCCGCTCTGGGTGTGTATAGACTACTGTTCCCCAGAAAACAGGGTTGAGATCCCAACTAAATGATCAGGTATGACAAAGGAACCAAGTGACCCGTGGTGTCCCAGCGACACCGCCCCATGCAGCATGGGGACCCAGGAGGACATGTCTCCACTGCTGTGTCCACATTAAGGCATTTTGCTGACTCCCCTGAGGGAGGAATGGTCCAGGAACAATCTGAACTCTTCAAAAACTATTGCCGTCAGTGCGGCTGTGGATGCCCCAAGTATAATTCTGGCGTATGGGAGGCCAAGGCGAGAAGCCAAAGAGCTGGAGGCCAGCCTGGGCTACATAGTAAGCTCCAGCCTGGCCTGTGAAACAGTGCAATGTTGTCTCAGAAAAACAAACATGAGAAAAACCAACATAAAAGTTCCAGCAAGATCATGAACTATAAACTAGATATGAAAAGAATTAAAGTGGCTGGAGAGATGGCTCGACAGTTAAGAGCACCGGCTGCTTTTCTAGAGACCCTGGGTTCAGTTCCCTGCACCCACTTGGCAGCTCCCCAATTGCCTGTAACTCTAGTACCAGACGATCCAAAGCCTCTGGCCTCTGTGGGCACCTGCCTTCATGTGCACACACCCGACCATGTGCACGCACACACAAACCCTGTGTGGCACGAAGCCCTGTGACTGAGCCCCAGCATTTCCCCAGCATTACATACGACCAGGCATGGTTATATGAAATCCCGTCATTTGGGAGGTGGAGGCAGGAGAATAAGAAATTCAAGATTATGTCTAGTTATGTAGTAGATTTGAGGTCAGCCTGGGCTACCTGAGTAGCCTTAAAAATAAAACTCCTGATGTGGTGGCGGAACCCACCCCTCAACTCTCTCTTTCCTCTTTGCTTTAAAGAGTTTCAGGTTGAGTCTTGTTTTGTACTTTAGAGCAGATTTAGCCCAAAAACCCGGAGAATGTTTTACTGAGCAGAACTCAGTGTTTGTCTTGTGTTTGGGGCTTTTCCTGGCTTTTTTTTTTTTTTTTTTTTTTTTTATGTGTATGAGTGCTTTGCCTGCTTGTCTGTATATGAACTGTATGGGTACTACCTGCATGTCTGCTTCCGACAGAAGACTAAAGAAATATTCGGATGCCCTGTAACTGGAGTTACAGATTGTTCTGAGCCCAGGTCCTCTGCAAGAGCGGCAAGTGCTCTTAATGGCGGAGCCATCTCTCTGGACCCTTTGTTTTTTTTAAAAAAAAACAAAAAACAAAACAAAAAAAACAAAAACAAAAAAAACTATCGTTATCTTTATTTATTTGTGATGTTGGTGTGTATATGAGTGTGCACCACAGCACACATACAAAGGTTAGAGGACAACCTGTGGGAACAGGCTCTCTCCTTCCCATCCTGTAGGTCCCAGGGATTGAACTCAGGTCACCAGGCTTTGTGGCATGCACCTTTACCAGGTGAGCCATCTCACCAGCTCTTGATTTGTTTTTTGATACCAGTGACCTCTGACCTGTAGGTATGATTTCCCTGGATCACTCTGGGCAGTAACTTAACTCTTGTTTTCCTGGTGTGGCAGAGAGAGAGCTCTTTTGTGTTTGAATAGTTCCGCCAAGACTTAAAAAGTCAGCTTGCGTTTGGCAGTGGGTGGAGGAAGCTTTTCGTTCCCTACAGCTTTCAGAGCCTTGCTTTCATCCAGATCACGGGCAGCCAAGCTCTTAGCAGCCAGACACTGAGGGCGATGCCTTTTTCTCATGTTCTTTTCTCACCAGTATTTTGGGTATGTGCTGTACCGAACAACACTTCCTCAAGATTGCAGTGAGCCGAAACCCATTTTCTCTTCACTCTTAAATGGTGTCCGTGATCGGGCTTACGTCTCTGTGGACGGGGTAAGCATTCTCTTTGAACTCCGCACTCGTACTTGACAGCGGGGTGGAGGGTCTTCTACACTTAGTAACGTGACATCCTGTGTCCCTGGGCAGTACGCCTTGCTCGCTGCTGTGGCCCACATGCTGCAGACTCAGGGCTGTTCTCTGAACATACACACTCTAGAAAACCCTGGGTCTCCTGAGTACAAGGCCAACACTGCCCTGACTGAGCTTAGCATGTCACCCAGACCTTCTCTGTTCTTTAGGGACAGCATCTATGTCAGCTTGGTACCTGTCACCATATAAAATGTGCTGTACTTAATGTCTCCTCCTAAATGAGACGTTAGAGTCTAAAGGGTTGCTCCTGACACTTGTAACCAAAGCATACCAAGGGCTTCGTTTCACAGTAAAACACGGATAAATTTTTAAAACACCCTTTCCAACATCTGGTGTGATGGCACATGCCTGCAATCCCAGCTGTCAGAAGGTTGAGGCAGGAGAATTGCAAGATTCAAGCCAACCTACCTGGGTGATGAGATCCAGACTGTATAAAACAAAAAAAAAAAAAAAAAAAAGGAGGATCATCGAGCCAGAGCCCGAGAGATGGCTCAGCAGGTAAAGGAGCTTGCCATGAGCCTGATGGTTGAGTTTGATCCCTGGGACTGGCGTGGTACAAAGCAGAACTGACTCCTGCCAGCTGACCTCTGATACCTGCTCATGTGCCTCTGCCCTTCAGTGCGCACACACTGAATAATACAAATTGAATAATAAATTGAATAATATAAATTGAATAATTCAAAAGCTATCTGTAGCTATTTGTTCCTCATTGGAATAGTTGTGGGAAAAGCTCGTGAGAAGATTTTCCTGACCAAGCACATTTTTTTTTTTTTTCAGAAAAGTTTTAGCCTTTGGAGGTTTTTTGTTTTTGTTTTTGGAAACTGGGTTTCATGCAGTCCAGGTTGGCTTCAGACATGTTCGGTATCCGGTGCCAGCCTTGAACTCCTGGTCTTCTTGCCTCTGCCTCCCAAGTGCTGGGATTACAGGTGCACACAGCCACACTCAGAGTACTTTAAATCAAAATATTTCATTCTAGGCTGGGAAGATAGCTTGCCTTGCAAGCATAAGGACCTGAGGTCACAGCACCAGCACCCATGTAGAGGACAAAGAAACAAGGGGCTGGACAGATGGCTCAGTGGTTAAAGCCATTGGCTGTTCTTCCAGAGGACCTGGGTTTAACTTCCACCACCTACGTGGCAGCTCACAACTGTCTGTAACTCTAGTCCTAGGAGATCCTGTACACTCCTGGCCTCTGAGCACCAGGCACAGACATAGTACACAGTCGCGCATGCAAGTCAAACACTCACACATAAAATAAATAAAAGAATAAGGAGGGAAAAATCCACATGTGACAGCATGCATCTATAATCTCAGTGCTGGCGAGGCAGAGACAGGAGCCTGGGCAGCCAGCCTAGCCTCCTCCGAAAGTTCCGAGTGAGCCAGAGATCTTATCTCAGAAAGGAAGATGGACTGTTTCTGAAGAATGACACCTACGTTGTCCCAGTGGCCTCTACACACGTTTGCATGCGTACTTTCACCTGAACGCACCCACACACACACAATAAGGGGGGAAGGTTTTCTTTTATAACCAACAGATTTAATTTCAGTGAGGACAAGCCTCTGAGAGGCTTCACTAGTTGTGTCCTGGTGACTTATGGTCAGTGTAGCCAGTCTAAAAAATAATCTTTTAAAAGGTTAAGAATGGGCTTGGGGATTGAGCTCTGTAATAGAGCCCTGTATTCTGGCCTCAGCTTGAAGTGGGTGTGGGGGCGTGAATGAATGAATGAATGGTTAGGAATGTCTTGTTAAGAAAATAGCTGTTGCTTTCTCTCACTGTGTTACATAATCGCTGTGGCTGATGTACCCTAGCAGTTGAGGTGAGCTGACTCTACCTATCTCCGATTTTATCTGTTACCTGATTTTATCTGTTCTCTCCCCGTGTTTAAAGGCTGTATCTTTGCACCTAACCGTGCAAAGGTTAAGTTTAAAGCTGTGAGGAGGTGCAGTAATCCTTCTCACAGGGACACTCGAATGTCTTCTCTGTCACATTCCTTTAAAAATAGAAGCGTATGAGCCACACCTGTAAGCTGGGCACGTGGGATGTGAGGTGGGAGAATTAGAAGTTCCAGGGAGGCCCTCATGGTAGAAGAAAAGAATTGACTTCTCAAGTTGTCCTCTGACCTCCATATACACCATGGTGCACATACACACGCGCACACACACACATACACACACATATACATACACATGTACATACACACATATACATCAAGCAGAAAAATGCCTGAGCCAAGCATGTTGGTCCACACTTGTAATCCCAGCATTTATGAGGTGGAGTCAGGAAGGTTTCAAGGTCAAGACCATCCTGAGCTGCATCACAAGACTTTGTTCCAGGTAGAACAGAGTCCCAGTCACTATAGCACAGTCCCAGCAGAGGAGTGGACCCTGAGCCGTGTACAGCCATCCTCCTCATTTGGAACGACAGGGATTGTGGGAACTTGGCCTGAGCATATCCAGACTCTCCCTGTAAAGCTGATGACACTTGGCACATTCAAACTCTCTCCGTGTAAAGCTGATGACACTTTGGGACAGGAAAAGGGACAGATAAGCTGTGCACACCGCTCTTTTTCTCTGATCTCACCTCCCACCCCCATTCAGCCTTGGCTTTAACTCACAGGTGCCCCAAGGAATCCTTGATCGAAACCTTATGACAACTCTGAAGATACAGGGGAAGGCTGGGGCCACGCTGGACATTCTGGTGGAGAACATGGGCCGTGTGAACTATGGCAGATATATCAACGACTTTAAGGTAGGACACTCATAGGAGGGATGGACCTGTGCCTGAGTGGTTGGAAGGAGTTCTGGTCATGCATGCAGCACTCACACATCCGTCTCTGGTTCCTGCTTCCGTTTATACAGAAAGACATCTGAATACCTTCTGTTTCTACTAAAGAATACAGTTTAACACACACACACACTTTTTTTTTTTTCTTTGACACAAGGTCTCCCTGTGTAGCCCTAGCTGTCTTGGAACTCCCTGTATAGACCAGGCAGGCTGGCCTCAAACTCAGAGCGATCCACCTGCCTCTGTCTCCCAGGTGATGGGATTAAAGGCATACACCCATATTCAGTCTACAATTTATTTATTTATTTATTTATTTTGGTTTTTTCGAGACAGGGTTTCTCTGTGTAGCCCTGGCTGTCCTGGAACTCACTCTGTAGACCAGGCTAGCCTCGAACTCTTGAACTCAGAAATCCACCTGCCTCTGCCTCCCAAGTGCTGGGATTAAAGGCGTGCGCCACCACCGCCCAGCTAGAACTTAACTTTTTAATTGTCTATTCTCTTTTTGTTGTTGTTGCTGTTGTTGTTATTTTTTTAAGGCAAAGTCTCAAGTAGTCCAGAGTAGCCTCGAACTCACCCTGACTTTGAATTTTCAATCCCTCTGCCTCCACCTCCCAGGTGCTGGGATCATGACTGTCTGCCACCGTCCTGTTATGCTAGAGATTGAATTCAAGGGCCTCTTGCACACTGGGCAATCACTAGCCAGCTGAGGCACATTCCCCAGTCCTTAAGTATTGATAAATACATAAATATGATATATATATATATATATGTATATGTATATGTATATGTATATATGTATATATATTTGTATGTATATATATATACTATATATGTGCAATATTGACATATACTATATCAATAAATATGTTGATATATATCAATAGTTAAGAGCTGGATATATATATATATTTTTTTTCTCGTTCTGACCAATCGCCACAGACCAGCTGTCACCACAGCAGCTCCCTATCAAGGCCTGCACACTTCGCTGAGCCTAAGGAGTGAAGTCCCCTGATTTGTTTTGCAGCCTGAAGATGAATTTCTCTGAGGGGATCTTTTCCTCCACAGCCCACAAGAACCTTGAGCTTTGTAAATACTTCCCTTGTGCTTGAGCTCAGCCATCCTGTGGGGAGAAACGGAAGCCACTCCACCATGCCCTTCCTCTGCTTTGAAAACCCACCCAGCTCGTCAGGGGCTCTCCCTCCTCAGAACCCGAGGCATCTGGTGGGCTCTGCTCGCTGCGCAGGCTTGGATGGGTGGCCTGCAACTGAGCTAGCTGTGTTACAGGAAGCCCTTTGGCTGCTGTTCTGCCACTGGCTGGTTACTATTCTCTGTCCAGTCCCAGTGTGGTGTTCTAACCAGTATTTCTAGATCATTAAGAAACTTTATTGTTAATCTGGGTTTTTGTTTTGTTTAACTTGTTTAAGAAGAAAAAATCGCCGGGCGGTGGTGGCGCACGCCTTTAATCCCAGCACTTGGGAGGCAGAGGCGGGCGGATTTCTGAGTTCGAGGCCAGCCTGGTCTATAGAGTGAGTTCCAGGACAGCCAGGGCTACACAGAGAAACCCTGTCTCGAAAAACCAAAAAAGAAAAAAAATCTCATAAGCCCTGACTGAGACGCACTGTGTAGTCAGGCAGGGATGTCCTGAGCTCCCTGCCTGGACCTTCCAAGTGCTGGGTTTATAGGCATGTTCCACCACACCCAGGTCACGTGGTGCTGGGCAGCAAACTCCGGCACTAGGCTAGTCAATACTACTGAGCTGAATCCCCAGCCCAGGAAACTTTTTCTTACTGTTTTTTTTTGGGGGGAGGGAGAAATTGTTTGTTTTTTGGTTTGTTTTATTTTTTTGAGACTGTGTAACAAAGGCTGATCTAGAACTCACAGCAATCCAGATTCCGAGTTACAGAGCCAACCTCCACATCCAGTTCAAGACACATTTGTTTTGGATCTATAGTGTCCCCAAGGTGCTTCCAGAAGTATAAAAATGGGGTAAAGGCTGCTCTTCCCCGGAGAGAATGCTCAAGGTACTGCCTGCCTCAGATCCTGATCCTGTTTCTATTTTTTTAACATCTATGTATGAGCATGCTCGTGTGTTTGAGTGCTCATGTGTTCACGCACTTGTGTGTCGGAGTACACTCACACACGCATGCCTGTGAGTAAAAAGAGCCATGGTTGACACCAGATTTCTCCCTCAGTCGACCTCCACCTTACATGGAGGCAGGGTCTCAAGTGAGCCTGGAACTCACGTCACCTAATGTAGATAGCTGTCTTGCCCTGGGGAATTCCCTGTCTCCTCCTCTTGTGTGCTGGGATCACAGGCCGGCTGTCATGGCCACTCAGCATTTCTATGGGAGCTGGGGATCCAAGCTCCAGGCCTCACTCTCACGTAGCAAGCCCTTCACCCACTGACCCATTTCCCCTTCACGATCCTCTTGTGGGCGGCAGAAAGGCCATTTGTGACACACTGCCTCCGTGTAAACATATTTTCCCATCCTTGTGTTCCGGCTGCGGTCACTGACCTTCCTGGCTGTGTGGTTGGTCACACTGACTCCCAGCGTGAGTAGGATCCTGCAGTGTGGTCTCTAGGTCCAGACACTTGATACTGACGGAGTCAGTAACCAGACAGTTGAGACCTGGTGTCAGACAGTGTCTTTTGAAAGATCCGGGATTCTCTGTGAGCGGAGAAGCTCCTCATGTAGAAAGTAAAGAGTGGGTGAGTCGTGAACACACACATACACACACGCACATGCACACGCACACACAAGCGCTCACGCGCACATACACACCTGTAATCCTCGCCCTTGTGAGGGCTGGGTTATATAGCAAGATCTTGTCTCGACGAACAAATAAAAAAGCCATAGCGAGAAGTCAGATGAGTTGTCAGAGGCATACACCTGCAGTCCAATGCTTGAGAGGCTGAAGCAGAAAGAGTTAGGAGCTCAAGGCTAGCCTTGGCTACATAGTGAGTTCCGAGATCGCCTGGAACACATGGGCCCTTGTCTTGATAACAACAAAAAGAAGTTAGATACATCGTGATCGTAAGTTCCCGAGTGATGGCTGTAGTCAGGGCTGCCTTGGCCCCCGGCCCCTGCAGATCAAAGAGGAGAACTTCTAAACCAATCCTGGTGTCCACTGTCTCATCATTGCTCACAGAGCCTTTACTCAATCCCACAGACGTCCTCACACATGGTCCTCACAGCTGGACAGATGTTTGGCCACTCTGGATCTGGGCTTGCTCCTTGACTGGTGGGAGAGACAGACACCCCACCCCCACCCGCTATGGCCAACTGCTTCGGGGTGAATATTCCTAGATTTTCCTACTAACTTATTCTCTCCTGGTATTTTTTTTTCCATTCTAGCAAATTCTGAAGGCAGTGGGGTTCAGGCTAGAGCGCTCCCCCTGAGGCACCCACTTCCTGTAGCCCAGACACTAGGGTGGCTTTGTAGTGATTTGTGGCAAAGCCAGTGTAGAGGGCCGTGTACCTCGTTCCAAAGAGTTGCTGTTGTGGGAGTTGTTAGGGTCAGGCGGATCCAGCTCCTGAAACGTAGAATCAGACATGGGACACTGAAAAGCAGAAAGGTTTATTCGTGTGGCCACTCTAGGAAGAGAAATAGTAAGTCCTGTAACTCTTCATCCTACCCCACCCCAGTCCATCCTCGGGATCCTAACATGGGGTTCAGGTTTAAATAGAAGGCTAGAGACACTCTCACAGTCCTGGTAAGGATGTGTTCTAGCTCCAGTCTCTCCGCCGCCGCTCATAGTCGGCACTCGGTGACATCTCTTCCGGGGAGACAAGCTCCCAGTCTGGCTCTCGATGACACCAGGCTTTGTTTGGCCTTTTTCCTAGCATGAGATTTCTAGGAAAATTCCAGTTTCGTAGGTTCTATTGTCTCAGTAGTCTGCCAGCCAAAGGGAGGCGCATAAGTGTCTCTTTAGAATGTCTTCATCCTGGGCTGGAGGGGTGGGTCAGGGGTTATAGAACACTTAGAGAGGATCCAGGTTTAGATCCAAGGACCCACATGGGAAAGCTCATAACTGCCTGTAACTCCAGCTCCAGGGCATCTCATGCCAAAAGATAACCTCTTTTGGAATGGTACCCACATGCATGTGTAATACACACACACACACACACACACACACACACATACTGATCACATGCCACAAATAAAAATAATTGTTTTTAAACTTTAAAAAAAAAAAGAGCCAGGTGGTAGCAGCTCTCTACATAACTCCCAGCACTTGGGAGGCAGAGGCAGGAGGATCTCTGTGAGTTTGAGACCAATATAGTCTACTGAGTGAGTTCTAGGACAGCCAGGGCTACACAGAGAAACTCTGTTTTGAAAAAACAAGACAGACGGACAGAGAGACAGACAGACAAAAGGATCATCTTCATTCCTGACAGGAGAATAGATCGGACTGAGCCTCCAGCCGGACCTGTGTCACCTGCTGTCCACACAGCTGAGTCTCATTTTCTCCTGGGTCTCCCCAGGGACTCCCATGAGTCCCTGCTTCCCCACTGGCTCACGGTTCTCTGCTTTCCTTTTCCAGGGTTTGATTTCCAACATGACCCTCAACTCCACTGTCCTCACCAACTGGACAGTCTTCCCACTGGACACTGAGGCCATGGTACGCAGCCATCTCGGGGGCCAGGAAGCCACTGATGAGGGTCACCTTGATGGACAGTCGACCTCCAAGTCTTCGGATTTCATACTCCCCACCTTTTATGTGGGCAACTTCTCCATCCCCTCGGGCATCCCAGACCTGCCGCAGGACACCTTCATCCAGTTTCCTGGATGGGCCAAGGTACGCTACGCATCTTCATGAAAAGCCTTTGGGTTCAAGCCTCCAGCATTTGATTCTTAGCATCTGAGAAGGGATCAGAAGACTGCCAGTAAGATGCTGTGTGAGGTGGGGAGGGTTTCCTACTGGGTCACTCACACAGGAACAAGACTGTGGCAGATCTTCAGGGACCCAGTGTCCAGCTTGGAGATAGCCTTCTAAATTCTAATTTTCTTTGACAACTTTCTTCAGTGAATGGCAGTTCACTTGCTTCCTCCAGGAAGAACTAGGCCCTACTTATTTACTTTTATTACAGCTATGTGTTGTGTGTATTCAAATGTGTGTTCACAAGGACCTGCCAAGGCAAACGTGGAGATCAGAGCCATGAGAGTCAGCCCTCTCCCTCCTCCCTGTTGGTGCTAGCAAGAACCTCAGCCATGGGCCGGGCGGTGGTGGTGCATGCCTTTAATCCCAGCACTTGGGAGGCAGAGGCAGATGGATTTCTGAGTTCGAGAGTTTGAGGCTAGCCTGGTCTACAGAGTGAGTTCCAGGACAGCCAGGGCTACACAGAGAAACCCTGTCCCGAAAAACCAAAAAAAAAAAAAAAAAAAAAAAACCTCCCCCATGGAGTCACCTCCTCATCCCCAGGGCCTCCGTTACATGCTGCTTATGAAGGGAACAATTTTTTTTTTTCTGTATAGGGTATCATGTAGCCCAGGCTAGCCTTGAATTTGCTATGTAGCCAGGAATGACCTTGAACTTCTGAGATGCTCCTGACTCTGCTTTGGGTACACACACCATCAGGCCTGACTTTAAAACGTTTACTTTTCTTTCTTTCTCTCTTTCTTTCTTTCTTTCTTTCCTTCTTTCTTTCTTGTGTAAAGATTTATTATGGGGGAAGGGAATGGGACCTGGGACATTGAGCAACAGGGCTGTGAGGGCAGAGGAGAGGAGAGAGAGAAGAACAGAAAGAGAGAGGAAAGGAGGAAGAGAGAAAGAGATCAGCCAGGAAACATGGGAATAGAGGAAAGGGGAGAAAGAAGATAGATAGATAGATAGATAGATAGATAGATAGATAGATAGACAGACATCGCGCGCTGGGGTGCCAGCAGGCTTCCTATATGCCTGGCACACACCTGGCAGCCGATGATGATGTAAGATGTTGCTAGGTTACCGTTGGGCGGAGACTAACAGGACTGTCTGTAAGCCAATAAAAATGTAGTCTTCCGGTTCTCAGAGTGCTGAGGTCAGTGAACTGCCCACCATGGGAGAGAGGGCCTAGTGCCTCCTGCTTGTTTGTGACTGATTGATGCTAAGCAAACCTCATACTGTAAATGGACTGTAGCAATTTATTTCTTACAGTCACAAGTTCCAGGCCATCCTGGGCTGCATGAGAGACCGTCTCAAAACAAAACAAAACAAACAAAAATCCTAGACCCATCCATCCATTTGATCCTTGCCCGTCCCTTTCCGCCCCCTGGAAGTGACCCATCATTGGGCTCTTGGCTGATTCATCAGGTACCAAGCACAGTGAGGCTTCTGCTGTGCATTGGTCACCACCATGCTCTCTCCATTTTAAGCTCTGGCTGCCTGGTAAGCTTGGTCCTTCTCTACCCTGTCCCTGGGGACCTCATCCTCTCTGACAGCTGACAGTTGGGACTCCTGTTTCCTGGACTTCCTGTCAGGCTCTGTCCTCACTTCCTGCCCAGTGGCCTCTAGAAGAACAGCTCGGTTCTGCCTACCTTCTTCCCCCAAAGCCAAAACCCCTGTTCTCACTTTCTCTGCCTGTGGTTCATCAGCCTTTCTTCTCTCCCTCAGCAGAGGCTCTTGGGCCTGAGAACAGACACTCGCCCTGGGTCTTCCCCTGCCACTAGCAGGGGACTTTCTGCCTTCTAGGCCACCTTTGGTTTTTCCCCTGCCCAGTAGAACCTAAAGTGAGTGCTGAGAAGGTGCAGGGCGCTGTGGCTGTCTGACAGCTCTTCTCTGCCTGTGTGGGCTGCCGAGCCAGGCCTTGTGCTCTTGGCGGACCCTCTCCCAGCTCTCACGCCACAGGATGTCCTCTTGTTATTCAAACTTAGCACAAAAAGGCCACCCGGCCTCTTAGACTTGGCCATCCAAGGCATTGTGGCAATTAAAAAGACAAAAGAGACTGGAGTGTGGCTTGATAGAGTGTACCCATGTGTCTATGTATGTATGTGTCCATGTAAGGTTGCTATACATGGGCTCAGTCCTCAGCACCACATAAAACTGGATGGGGTGGTACTGAGCACCAGAAGGCAGGGAGGAGGACCCTAAATTCAAGTCATCTTCAGCCACATAGCAAGTTCAAGGGCAGCCTGGGATCCATGGGACCTTGGGTTGACCTCTGACCTGCTTGTATGAACGCACTGCAGGAGCCGTCCGCCTTGTTTCTGTTTTGCATGTTTGATTTTGTTTTACTTGGTTTATTATTATTGTCATTGTGCGGGTGACGTGTGTGTAGGAGTGTGGACATGGAAATCTCAGGTGACGTGTGGTCACAGGAATCTCAGACAGGTGACATGCGTGTGTGTCAACGTGGACACAGGGATCACACACAGGTGATATGTGTGTGAGAGCGTGAACACAGGAATCACAGACAGGTGACATGTGTGAGCATGGACACAGAGATCTCAGGTAACGTGTGTGAGCGTGGACACAGGAATCTCAGACAGGTGACATGAATGTGAGTGTGGACACAGGGATCACAGACAGGTGACGTATGTCTGAGTGTGGACTCACAGACAGGCGATATGTATGTGTGAGCATGGACGTGGGAATCACACACAGGTGACATATGTGTCTAAACATAGATGCAGGAATCACAGACAACTTTTTAGCATCAGTTCCCTTCTTCCACTTTGGATTCCAGGGATCAAACTCAGATCTTGAGGCTTTCACAGCAAGCCCCTTTATTTGCTGAGCCAGCTTGCCTGCCCCACCTTGTTTCCTTAGGAAGTCTTTCACTGGGACCTGGGGCCTGCAGATTCAGCTCGGCTGCTTGGCCAGTGGATCCCTTAGAGCTACTAGACTCCGCTTCCCCAGTGCTGACATCAAAAGCATGAACCAACACATCAGGCTTTGAATGTGGGTTCTGGGGATCAAACTCAGAACCTCATAATCAAGGGATAAAACATCATAGATCAAGGTACATCTCCAGTGTCAAACATTCAGTATGCCCCAAGGCTTATACAAAAAGGTAGGCAGCTGGGGGGGGGGGGGTTAGGATAGGGGGAAAGACACAGGTCCACACACCTTATAGGACAGCATAGGCTTCTATAGAGAGTCACAATTAAATTTCTTTACAGTGGTGTCTTAGACTTTTATTACAGTAATAAAATTCACGACCAAAGGCAACCTGGAAAGGGTTTGTTTCAGTATACTTCCAGGTAATAGTCTGTCCCTGAGAGAAGTCAGGGAAGGCGCTGGAAGGCAGGAGCTGAAGCAGAGGCCATGGAGGGGTGCTGGTGGCTGGCTTGCTCCCCATGGCTTACTTAGCCTGCTTTCTTATACAACCCAGGACCACCTGTCCAGGGATGGCCCCTCCCACAATGGATTAAGCCCCTTTACATCAATCACTAGCCAAGAAAATGACTTTACAGACTTGCCTATGGGCCAGCCTGAGGGAAGCATCTTCTCAATTGAGATTCTCCCTTCCCAGACGACCCTGGCTTATATGGGGTTTACAAAAAAAAAAATCTACCCAGGACAATGGGTATAGCATTTTAGCGTGCAGGGAGCACCAAATGAAATGTGATACATTACAAAATGTGAGAGCCTGGGAAACCTCGAGCCAGCCAGGTATGGCAGCTCACCCCAGCGCTTAGGCAGTGGCATAGAGAGAGACAGAGTCCTGGAGGTTTCTGGACAGTCAGTGAAACAGTTTCAGGTTCAGTGGAGAGATTCTGCCTCCAAAAAGAGAGTGAAGAGTAACAGAGGGGGGAGGGCTGGGTCAGTGGCTCAGAGGTTAGGAGCTGCTGCTCTTCCCCAGGACCAGGGTTCTATTCCCAGCTCCGACATCATGGCTCACAACCGTCTGCAACTCTAGTCCCAGAAAATCTGATGCCCTCTTCTAAGCCTCCGTGGGCACCAGGCACAAACATGGTGGACAGACATGGATTCAGGCAAAATATATACATGAAATTTATTAATAATAAGATATCAGAGGGAGGCATTCAAAGTCAACTTCTGGTCTCCATTTGCTTGTTTACTCACAAACAAGCAAATGCCTCCATGCACGCCCTCAAAGGACACAGATTAACCACTCCTCCCCCCAGGCCTCACCCTGTGCTGGGGAATACCTCAGCAGATTAGGTAAGGGAGAGGAAGAAGGATTTGATCACATGACACTGAGGCCTGAGCAGTCCTCAGACTAGGTAGGTAATGCTCGCTGGCCCTTGTCTTCCTCCTCCTCAGAGGCCCCTCCTGAGGGCCACTTAGCTTTCTTCTCTTTTGTTACCAAGGAACTAACTTGATTTCGTGAATGAAATCACTGATACATTCAATTCATGAGATAAAAGCCCCACTTTTGATTACTCTGGCTTTTCTTAGGTCGGATGTGGCTTTCTGGTTAAGCAAGCATGCTCAGCAGATTTCAGGGGTCAGGCGTGCCTGCTCTGTCCACACAGGTCAGCGCCTGTCTGCAACTGTGCATTGACTGAGTGTAGACTGTCAGGGAGCTGTGTTTGCCAGGGCTTTGGTGACAGTCAGAATGTGTGGGTCAGGTGTGCTGTGTCCTGCTGTTCTGGGGCAAGGGTTTCTTTTCTGTTCGGCTCCATTCCGGGTTGAAACGAGTGTGGATACATCTTTCATTAAAACATCCTGCCAAGCTGTGCGTAGTGTAATCCCAGCACTTGAGAAGCAGAGGCAGGCAGATGTCTGTGAGTTCAAAGCCAGCCTGGTCTGTAGGGTGAGTCCAAGACAGCCAGGGCTGCACAAACAAGAGGTAGAGGAAGATACATGAGAAGTTGAAGGTCCACATCAAAGCCAGCCTGGAACATGTGAGATTCTGATTCACAAAAAGTGCCCAGTGTCATATAAAAGTGTGGGGCTGGAGAGGTGGATCAGCAGTTAAGAGTATTTTCTGCTCTTGCAGGGAACCTAGCTTTAACCCCCAGCACCTCCCTGGTGCCTCACAGCTCTCTCTGACCTGCCTGGACTCCCGTCCATGGTGTACATGAACACACACACATAAATAAATCATTTTTGTTTGTATTTGTTTATTTTGGTTTTGTGAGGCAGAGCCTCACTGTGGCTCCTTGGCTGGCTTGGAACGCATAAAGATCTCCTGCCTCTGCTGGATTATAGGGCATGTGCCGCCCCATCCAGCCAAATCAATATTTTGAAATGAATTTATAATAATGTCAAGGAAGCTGGCTCATTGGTAAAAGTGTGTCGTATGCGTGACATCTGGGGGTAAATTCAAGCCTAGCACAGCCGTAAAAAGCTGTAAACGGGTGGTGGTGTTTGCTCGTAGACTTAGCCTTGGAGGACGCAAAGAGGGGCAGAGTCCTGGAGTGTGCTGGCCGGTTAGCCTGTCCTAACTGACAAGCTCTGAGTGAGAGGATTTTAACCTCCACGGTACCCAATTGATCCTTCCAGGCACCCATAGTTCCTTTTAGTGTGGTCTATTATCTCGTTTTTGTGTTTTTTAGACAGGGCCTCACTGTGCTGCCCTGGCTGTCCCGAGACTTGCTCTGTAGACCAGGCTGATCTTGAACTTAGAAATCTACCTGCCACTGCCTTCCGAGTGCTGGGACTAAAGGGATACACCACCATACTCAACCTATGTTCACTTTTAAAGGGATAGCTGAATATTTTAAGACAGTATTGAGGGCTGGGTATGGTGGCACATGCTTTTAATCCCAGCACTTGGGAGGCAGAGGCAGGTGGATTTCTGAGTTCGAGGCCAGCCTGGTCTATTGAGACCCTGTCTCAAGTAAAGCAAAAGACAGTATTGAAAGTTTAACTCTATGGTGTTGAGAGATGGCTCAGAGGTTAAGTGTACCAGCTGCTCTTCCATTGGACGCAGGTTCAATTCCCAGCAACCACATGGCAGCTTACACCTATAACTCTAGTTCCAGGGGCTCTGACGCCCTCACACAGACATGCAGGCAAAGCACCAGTGTGCCTGGAGTAAAAATAAATCTAAAAAAGAAAGAAAGAAATCATCACTGTAAATTCTGGGAAGATTGACTTTGTCCAGGTAAGTTAAGGCAGACACACACTCTAAGGCTGAAAAGTAGGTCAGACACTTACAGGAACTTCCGCATTGCCGTCACCTCTGTGTTAATAGCAAAGGGTAGGAGTGTGGGCCGGGGTCAAGATGGTCAGAGATAGTCAGCTTCTGCCATGGACTGTAGAAGCTGGGACTGCCATGGGACACCCCCAACCCCCTGCAGTCACCTCATTAACATAAACCTTTCGGTTTACCAAGAATAATTTACCAAGAGTAATTTCAGTATATATTTTTCTTTTTGGTCTTTGGTGGCAGGGTTTCACACAGCAGCCTAGACTGGCCAGATGTGCTAAGCAAGAGTCCTTTACTGAGCTAGCCTCTCAGCTTTTCCAGCATAAATTTTATTTATGTTTTATTTTATTTAGTTAGTTAGTTAGTTACTTAGTTCAGTTTTTCAAGACAGAGTTTCTCTTTGTAGCAGGATACCAGGGCTATGTAGAGAAACCCTCGTTCAATAAATAAATAAATAAATAAATAATTAGTAGGTTAGTAAAAAATAAAACTGAATAAAGCCTTTAAAACTTTGAACTAGAAGCCTGGCATGGTGGTCCACACCTATAAACCCAGCACTATGGACTCAGAGGCCGGAGGGTCACTGCAAATTCAAGGTCAGCATGTCTGTATAGCAAGCTCTAAGCCAGTTTAGGGCTACTAGTAAAACCAAACAAGAACTAAAACCTTAACCTAGGCACACGCCTTTAATCCCAGCACTTGGGAGGCAGAGGCAGGCAAATTTCTGAGTTCGAGAGTTCGAGGCTAGCCTGGTCTACAGAGTGAGTTCCAGGACAGCCAGGGCTACACAGAGAAACCCTGTCTTGAAAAACCAAAAAACCAAAAAAAAAAAAAAAAAAAGCCCTGTCCCCCAAAATAATTAGTATATTCATACCATTGAATGCCATGTGATGTTTAAAAGAATTATGCATCTATACACTTATTTGTGCATGTATGTGTGTGAGTGTATGTGGTATGTGCATGTACATGTGTGCTATGCTCCTGTGTACAGGGGAGAAGGTCAGAGGAGTAGAGGTGTCCTGCTCTGGTTCTTGATTTTATCCCCTTGAGACAGGGTCTCTTATTGAACCTGGAGCTGGGCTGACGACCAGCAAGCGCCAGTGATCCTCCATCTCTGTCTCCACAGCCCTGGCATCACAGCCATGGGAAAGACCGCACCTGGTTCTTTTATGTTGTTGCCGAGGATTTGAACTTGCGTCCTTGTGCTTTCCCCCCATGGCTCTTACCCGCTGGGCTGTCTTCCCAGCCTGTTCATGTACATTTACACAAGATAAAAATTAGTCAAAACTAATGCAGGGCGACTGAAATCAGGAGCTGGTTTTAAGACCGTGAAAACAGGATTCTGGCAGAGATGAGGCTGATAAAGCCCAGGTGAAACTATTATGGTTTGTGCCTTTTAGGACGGAGGGAGATATAGATCCCGTGTAAAAACAAGAATTAAAGTAGTTCCGAGAACCTCGAAACTGTCACCCTTTTCTAAATGACTTAGTCCAACAGACAGGCAGTTTTGAGTGGCTGACCTCCTTCTGTCAGCGCTGAACGCCTGGAGCTTTTGTTTCAGTGGTAAGTGGCTCCCACATGGGACCAGGAGCACAGCCCACCTCTACCCCACTCCCTGCACCAGGCCCTGGTCTGACCACGAGAGATGGCCTGTGTCCCCTAGGCTGGCCTCAGATTCATAACAGTCTCCTGCCATAGCCTCCCAAGGGCTGAAATTACAGCACCCACCCCACACACCCCTGCTTTCAGCTTGGGTTGCTTTGGGGACCATTCTCAGACTACATAGACTCTGTGTGTTACCATGGACCCTGGGCTGCAAGAACTTAACTGCAGACTTGCCTGAAGTCAGACAGCTAGCAGGGGGCAAGAATAAGATGGCCAGGGAAGAAGTCCAGGTAGACTGGAATAAAAAATAACAGTTATATGTGAATACAACTGTTGCTGTAACTGTCTTCAGACACACGAGAAGAGGGCATCAGATCCCATTACAGACGGTTTTGAGCCACCATGTGGTTGCTGGGAATTGAACTCAGGACCTCTGGAAGAACAGTCAGTGCTCTTAACCACTGAACCATCTCTCCAGCCCTGGGGGGGGGGGG